TTTTTTGTTTTTTTTTCATCACGTGACTTGAATATGCCCAATTATGTCAATAAATTATAAAGCCTCATTTAAGGCGTTTATAGCGCACCAAACTCTTTAATTGATTTGGTTGATCCTAACGACTAAACGGTTAGATTGGTTAGGAAAGTGGAGTAAATACGTGGGATACGTTGGTGGAACGCATGGATTTACATACTTTTCCACAGCAGCGGAAGGATAATTTTCTGCATGAGTTCTTGAGAAAAAAGTGATCTAATGCGTACATTTGCATTGATGCATTCCTAATTTTCATTAATATTTAAAGTTTTTCAGTGCGAAGTTCGATTCCAACAAGGATAATGACTAGATTCTCAGTAAAAGCAAAATGCAAGACCAATTTTATCAGTTATCGAGGCAGCTGTATTTGCCCTCAGGGGATGCATGCGACAAGAAATAAATCCATATGCGTAGTAATAAAAAGTGCAGGTTCGAGCTACATGTGCCGAAGGAGTTGGTGGTACCATAGACATCAAAAATTCACAGTCTTTTATGAGAATATTTAATAAATTGATTACAACTATACGATTTTTTAAAGGTTTTACAGTTCTTGTACTTATAAATTATTTCTTAAGAATTCATGGATTAGGATTCTTTTTCCACCAAGCACACACTGTTCACACTGCGGGAAGAAGACGTTGAAATCGTAACTAACAATGTGCTTTCAGTGAGTCCCGGTTCGTGGTGTGATGTGGATTTGGGAATAATTTGCAATGGTGGTTCAAGCTGCTATGAAAATACATGTGTATGTCCATACAAGCACGTTATTAGCGCATTGCAGTGTGTACCTGCACCTAGTGGTTCGCATGACTTTTCTTACGCTTCCTGAAAAACCTATCCTTCATAACACCATCAAAGCACCCAGATGTACCTGAATGTCTACTTGAAGCAATCTTTCAATGAACTTTTATGCTTTGGAAAACTGTTAGCTGGAACTTAATTTAGGCATTTTGAAAAAATTTTTGCATGTTATTCCCAAATTTGCTCACGATTTTGATTAATTTTGTGCTGGTGTTGGTTAATTTTTGATTAATTTTAGTACTTATTTCTTTACGGTAGATACTGATCATTTTTGTTACAGTTGGCCTAGTGGGCCACGGTAACCAGTGTCCATATGCCTTATTAACAAGAGTATCAGTCAACAGCATGTTTTTGTGTGGTTGCAATGTTACTAAAAGTTTCATATATGTTCTGGTGGATCACTTTTTATGCGAAGGAAGTGTACATGCCGCCGTATGGGTGCACTTTAACAAATGGTAGGGTATAGTCTGTAAACCGTTTCATTATTGTGTCACACGTAAATTAACAGGTCAGCCGGAATATTCCCGAAAAGTGGATACCACGAACCCAGAATTGATTTCAAACTGGCAGCAGCTGGAAGATTGTCCAGTGTCTTCGAATTTGTGTCGACTACCGGACTGCTTTTGCTCAAGGTAAGTCTTTTGTTTTGAACTGTAGGATCGTGAATATTTGTTCACTCTCATTTTAATGCATAAGTGAATAAAACTTACTTCTCCGTAAGAAAATTTTTGAAAAGAACCGGCGCAGGGTAGTATGTAAACTACTCCTTCAACGTTAGTGAATTTGATCGAAAAGCGGGCCTTTTGATGTGACTTTTCTAAATAAATTTGAGGTTTCCTTGTTGTAATTGAGTACGTTAGTTCTTGCTTTCCGGAACTGCTTCTTACAACGCAGAAATGCCCGGACTGTGATCGCAACTTATGTGTTACGTGTTATCTTGAACTACATGCATTCAGTATGCACATGCTGTTCAGTATGGTTGTGTCCGGCTTTCTGGTAGCTACCTAACTAGAAATTTTCTTTCTCGTCGATGCTACTTTTTGGTGAGCAGTGCCTGTCGAGAGTGTTTGATTATCACCAGATAGGCATGTTCATTTGTTTTCTAGGTCTGGATTGGAAATTCCTGGTGGGCTGCTTGCGAGCGATGTTCCACAAATGATACTGCTAACATTCGATGGACCAGTTACCGATCAAGCCTTTGCTGCCTACAAATCTTTGCTTAGCGGGAAATATCGGTAATAGAAACAAGGATTTTATTTTCCATAAGTTTTTTTAAATCTTTTTGTCGCGATTATAAATTTCACTTGTGTATTTCTTTTTATTTGTGACTTTTGTTTTCTATCTTTTTTAGCATGTTTGATTTTCATCATTCTTGATGGCTTTTTTTTTTTCATATTTGTCAGGGACTGGGAAACCGGACTACCAAATAACTGCCAATTTA